TTCCAGACACACATATCCAATTGCTACTTGACACCTCTGTTTAAATGACCTATAAGTACTTCAAACTCAATCGAATGGAATTCATGTTCCCAAGCAAACCTCATCTAATTTTAAGTATCTTATTTTAATGAATGACACCACTATCCACTTAACTTATATAAGCCAGAAGCCTGGATATCATCATAAGTTGACTCCTCTCTGTCCTTTACCCTTATGTAATTAATTGCTACATTTTATAATACAATGACAGATATTGTTTTAAGTACTTTACATGAATTTAACATGAGATATGCACATAGAGTAAAATATAAAGTTTATAAATGACTAGTAAGTATATTGATAATAAACTCTTTAAGACTAAATGAGGGAAGAATGACTATACACTAGGATGATCAGGAAAGGCAAAATGAACCTTAAAATCTGGTCAACAAAAAGGCAGAGGAAAGCATTTTAAGACTCAAGAACAGACAAAAACAAACACAATTGTGTGAGTGAAAGACAAGTCTGAAAGGAGAAGAGAATATAGACAAGGGTTCTCAAACTTTTTGGATTCAAAACCCTTTTATGTTCTTAAAATTACTAAGAACTCCAAAAGCTTTTGTTCATGTGGGTTAAATAAATTTTTACTTTATATTAAATCTTAATTTAGTTAAAATTTAATTAAAACTGAGAAATTTTTTAAAATTACAACCCATACAATTCACTCATTTAATGTATAGAATTCAATAGTTTTTAGTATATTCACAGAAATGATTAAAATGTTATAAAATTGACTATAATATTGAGTCAATTTTACGACATTTTCATTATCTCAGAAACTCTCTAGCCGTCATCCTCCAAACCCCTAGTCCTCTCCACCAGCCTTAGGCAACCAATAATCTACTTCCTATCTCTACTGAATTGCCTATTGTGGACATTTCATATAAATGAATTTATATAATGCTTGGTTTTCTGTGACTGGCTTCTTTCAACGTATTTTCAAGGTGATTATGTATTCTTCCACTAGGAAGCATAAAATAGCTAATAGCTTTTTTTTACATTAAAGGATACTGAGGCTCAAAACAACCTTGAGAAAATTTAAGAATATTTATTTTAAACAAAAAACCCATTATGCTAACATAAATAATTTTTTAAATGAAAAATAACCACATTCTTCAAAATAAAAAATATAGAATAGCACTGTTTTACAATCTTCTGAATGTGTTTACTAGACGTTAGTAAATGTCTAGTAAAAAAATAGAAAAGAGCTGAATTTTCATATCTGCTTCTACATTTACTTTGTTGCAATATGCTGTTTTGGTTGAAATATACAAAGAAAAATCTGGCCTCAGATAGAAAGAGGAGGAGTATTCCATAGCCTTTTCAGCTAATTATGGTGATTGTTTTCTGACACTACACCAAAACTCAACAAGTCATAGTTTCTTAAAGGTTAGTTACAGGGTGGAACTGGAAGCAATATCACTGAACAGAAATATTCTTTTTGTATTTTAATACCTTAAAATCCATTGGTTCATCTTGAACTTTTGATGAATCTCTTACCCATGAATGATTTTATAATGATGTATTTGGTCAATTGGAAATATTAGTTCACTGAATTATGTAGGCCTTCTAACTGTTTACAAATCTCTGTATACAATATTTTAAAAATCACATTTGTTGATATCACTACTGATTTTATCAGAAAAATCTTTAAGATATTAGGAATCTGTCAAGCTTTCAGTGGTGGATACAAGTTTCTAACCATCTAATTTTTACTTGAAAACACAAAAGTTATCATTGGTAACCTTTACTGTCAGCTGTTTTCCTTGAAGAGACAGGCTCACTTTGTTCATTTTTTAGAATCTACCACATACCCAAGTATGAATAAACACAACTGCTCATCAGTCTTACAAGTAAAACATGTTTCATGAAAAGAGTAACTGGTTCAGTTCACAATTCAACCAACGAAATAACTATTTTTCCTCAAGACAACTATCATACTTTGGTATGCAACTTTCTACATATTTTAATTTCATCACATTGAATATTAAAAAGACATACTCAAGAGTGGAGATTTAATAAAATTCCTTTTACTGCTTCATCAAGGACATTCTTAAATGAAACTGACATGTTATGTTTTGTTTCTTTAACTGAAAATGTGCAGTGGTGAAGATTACAATGACTACTAGCCAGTTTCATGTCACTGCCTTGATTTGTGCAAAGGTGCTAACAGCTTCACATAATCAGTTTAAATGTCAACAAACTGGAAAAGGTAAATTAACATTTTAATATAATAGTAATACAAAAATAGTTTTTACTTTGCAAATTCCTTGAAGTGGTTTCAGGAACCATCAAGAAATCATGCACACTTATAACTGCTGACATAAAAAAAAAAAAAAGCAGGAGACAAAGCATCTAAAAAAGATTTTTTTTTTTTTTGAGAGAAAATGTCATTTCAAACAAATTTATTTCCTTGATTCATGAGAAACAGCATTCTAAAAGCAGTGTAGCCAGCATACAATCACATTGCTGCAGAACATTGAATAAGCTTTTAAAAAATCACAGGGCAGAGAATGGGATGGTAAATTGTTAAAATCAGGAAAAAGCATCCAACAAAGTAGGAATCCAATTTGGTTCCCACAGTGGGGCAATCAGTTTAGAAAGTCCATTCATGATGTTAATTACAACAATGGAATGGAAACATTTAGGTTGATACTAGATAACTTTCATATACTTGTTTTGGTAAACTGCAACAAGCATCACAAATCCCAATAGTCCCCAAAATTAACATTGATGTTTCAAGTTTAGATTGCTGAGAGACAGATCAATTTGACTTACTGCATATATTACCATGGATTATTTTGAAGATACTTTGCTATTTCTTTTAAAAATATTTCTGAGGGTAGTTTTTATTCTTCAAGTTCACTATGGTATAGGTGGTGATTCAAAGAAAAACAAAAGTGACACTTAGATTTTGCAGGCATTCAATAAGTATAGACTCGAAGAATAAATAGATGAGTGGATGCATAAAGAGCCATAAAACTATCCATTAAATCTGGTGAAGAAATAATTTCTAGTGGGAACTAAGGCCTAAAATCTAAAACAATCTTGCAAGGATGTATTCCTGATAGTCCAATACTAGTAAATATCTTATTGAAGCAGCTGAAGCAATAAACAATCACTTAGTTATATACTTAAATGTATAAGAAATCTTAGGCTCACAAAAATATACATGTTTTAAAAAGGAAATCTAAGGCACACAAAATACTAAAACAAGTCAATGAATTACCCTATTTTACATATTCAACAAGCAGAAATCTACTTGTACGGGATGGTCTATCAATGGTCATTTCGTTATTTACAATCCCTTCATATTCCTTTACTTGGATTAGTCAAAAGCTCAAAACAGATACTTTGCACAATATATTAACAAGTTACAATGAGTTTTTCTTTAAAGAGCCTGCTGGAACTGTTTGCTTTTGTATCAAAATGGTAAGTGTTAGCAGTTGTGGGCTTCCTATGGCATTTCCAAGGGAGAAGCACCATTAGGTTTTCCATACTCCCAAGGAATCTGACACTTTGAATGTTATAGTTTCATATGCCAGAGATATCACATTTAATATTTAAATTCAGAGGTTTATGACTGCCACGTCTCCTATTGTAAATCAATTATACTCTTTTCCAAACTTTGGCCTTGTCACTTTTTCTCCAAAAGTTCTCAAAAATAAAGGAATATTGTTTAGAAGCCCTGAATAACTGAGCTAAACAGGCTTGAGTACGAGCAATTTTTAAAGAGTAAATTTCTAATACTTTCTACACAATTTTCCAAGCCTTTATCTTTTTTGTATCCTCACAATGTCTCTCTCAATTCAAGGCATATGGCAGTTGTTCAATAATTACATGCTGATGGAAATAAAATTGAATATCTAAAATAAATAATAATACTTTCAGATGATACAGTAATATTGCAATATCAATTTCTGGGAGGAGAGGACACATAAGCCGTTAAAAAGTACTCTAAGTGCTTATTTTATTTACTTATCTATTTATTTATTTTTGCTTTCACTTAATTCCCCAGATTCAGAAAGTTGTCTTCTTACTACTCCTTTTCTTATCAAGCTTAAGTTCATTCCATAAGTAGTTACCAAATTCAATAATAGGAGTGTAACATTCTATCAATTACCCATGCTTCTCTCCTCTATTCACTCTGTCTATATGGCAATATAAGAAAACACTAAGAAATAAATTATCTCTTAGTCATTAAAAATTCAAAACATAAGAAAACTAAAACTAATGTTACATGTGCAAATTAGGATTGTAGGATACCTAAAGTCTTAATATTTAACTACAATTTCTGCATGCTGATACAAATTAAAGATATATACTTAGTATGCCACAGTTTCAAAAGAAACCATTAATCTACAAATCTGACAATTCACAAAGTATTATCCAACTATGCAGATTTGAAGAGCATAACCTCAAATTGCCACCTTTATTAAACAAAAGCCTTATCAATGGTTATAATGTTATAAAGAGAATCCTAGACAATACAATCTGTGCCCCATAATGATTGAACAAATAACTATAATTGAACAATAGTGTTATACTTTAATAATGGAAAAAAATGAATCCTACTAAATTGAACAAGAAAAAAATGCACTTTTTAATAATATAAATCTCATAATCTCACAATTTAAGAGCAGACATGTACATTTTCAAATAAAACAATATATTTTAAATAAATTACCTAAATAGTTTTTAAAATTCTGTTTTGTTTTGAAGTGCCACGTTTTAAGAAAAGCTATTCTTAAATAAATCACTGTGCTGTATTAGATGGTTTAGGGCACTCAAATAAAGCTCTATTTTAATATTCCACTTGATTCTTGGGCTGAAATAACATTATTTATTTAATTGTCTATTTGTTCTTGAGGTACATGTTAAGAAACATCTCTCACTCACAGATGATCTGTTAGCCAAATGCATATGAATGAATTTCTTCAATTATTTAGCTAGTTACTTACTGAGTGCCATGCAAGGGATTCCATGATTCGATGTTCACATCGTTCTAAATGTTTTATCATTTCTCTTGTCAAGTTGCCTTCTGCTTTGATAAAACTTTCAATCACTTTGTAAAAATCAAAGGCTTTTAAATTAAGTACATTCAGAATCCATGGGAAGGACAAATCTGTTCCAGAATCAAGATTCTGAGATGTGCTTCCTAAAAATGAAAAAAAAAAAGTAACTTAGGTATGAAATATTAACCCTTGAGCTAGGTAGTTTTTTGGAAGGTCATATCCAACGAAGAAAATAGTAGAAAGGTTAAACAATTTTTATTTAGAGCATAATTTTTTATTTTGGAGTCTACAGACTCAGAGGAAATAGCCTTCCAATTTTCGAGTGTATACACATGTATCTTTTTCCTAGAGAAAAGGCTTATAGCTTATCTCAAATTTGCAAATGTTTAAATACCCTAAACTTACATCAGGAATAAGTTTAGTATCTTACCAGCCATTCGTTAGCATATCCATTTTAATTCTCATTAATCCTTGGTAAGAGGAGAGACAGTCTTGAAGATTTTGCTAATTTCATTACTTAGAAAATGGTATCTCTTTAAAATGTGCATTTCTTTATTATTAATGAGGATTCACAGTTTTTCTTATTTGTTTACTAATAAGGAAACTAAAAGTTCCTCTTTTACTGTTTTGCATCCTTATACAAATGTTACTTTTCTTTCTGCAAGCAAAACTTTCTTTTAACATTTGCAATGTAATCTGCAAAGTGATATACATTCATATTTTTAAAAACACTGTAATTGGCCTTTGTTCTATTTATCTAGTGGATTCTAGCTTCAATCTTTAGTTTCATAACCATGAAGGTTATAGCAGGGCTTCCATATCAGTAGAGGTCACTCTTCAATACTCCTTGGGCACTTTACAATCTCACAGGTCTTCAGAGGGATTTCAAAAGGTACCTTTTCTGGATTCAGTATACTCAGAAGAGGAGCCTAGTGAAATACTATCCCCAAGATGACCTCAAATATTTCAAATGAGCCTCTTAAATGGCTTATAATGACCAATTACGTTCTTCGGTATATAGTGATCTAAAATAAGGATTCCTTCTCCTTAATCTCACACTGTCCCCTTGCCCCCACCAAAGAAACACACCACATTTTAACTTGAAATTAAACAAAATGTTTATTTACAAAAATTTAACTTACTGCTATATGTGGCCATTACAACCTCAAGAGCACACGCCAATAAAGACATATGAAAAATGTTGTCGTTTAGAAGTTTGCTAAAGGAAAAAAGAAAAAAGTTACAAAATATTTACTTTTATAAAAAAAAATTATTTTACTAAAAGTAAAAAATTTACCTAAAATTTTGAATGGATAATCGTTCTTCTTCCTGAAATAGATAATTAAAAAAAAGAAGAAGTTTAATTGAAATCTTATTTGTGTCAGCATTGAATTTTTTTTTTTTTTTTTTTTTTGAGACACAGTCTTGCTCTGTTGCCAGGCTGGAGTGTAGTGGTGTAATTTTGGCTCACTGCAACCTCTGCCTCCCAGGCTCAAGCAATTCTCCTGCCTCAGCCTCCCAAGTAGCTGGGACTACAGGCACACACCACCATTCCCAGTTAATTTTTGTACTTTTAGTAGAGTCGAGGTTTCACCATGTTGGCCAGGGTGGTCTCAATCTCTTCACATTGTCATCCACCCACCTTGGCCTCCCAAAGTGCTGGGATTACAGGCATGAGCCACAATGCTTGGCTGAAATTTTTTTATATTGCTTTTAACTTACTGATTTAAGCATGGATTCCATTACTCGGTAATACAAGCGAACTCCAAGTTTGTATCGCTACAAACAAACAAAAAGGAAAATTAGAGTCTGCTATTTCAGAAAATCACAATTACTAATTTTTTTTTTTTTTTTTAAGATGGAGTCTCACTGTTTTGCCCCAGCTGGCCTTCACACTCCTGGGCTCAAGTGATCCTCCTGCTTTGCCCTCCCAAGAGTCTGGGATTACATGAATACACCACTATACCCAGCTGACAATTACTAATTTTTTAAAAAGCGTTTTCTTAAAACACAGTTCTCACCCTTCTTAGAAATATGGCTGCCAAGAGAAAAGCTAGCTTGTCTAAAACTCAAGTCTTAAGTGATGATTAACATTCCCAAGTAAATTCCCAGGTAGGTCCAGTACCTGGATTTCCTTAACTCCATTTCAGTCTATATCATTCATACTAAAGATAGGTTATGTGCCCAGTACTATTTTAAGCATTTTATGTAACTTCTACAACATTTCTCATGACCTAGAACATGTATTTTCAAGATGGCTCTCTAGGATTACAAGAACAGTCTTTGTCCATAAATTTAGTAAAACTGATACAGGCAAAAATCAGATCAAATTGACCGTATCAGCAAGAAGTTTTAACCAAAAAACGAGTTCCCATTATTTGAATGAATAACCAAATTTTAGAGATATAAACACAACCATATTATTTCATTTCAAATTAAGAGCAAAAGTCTCATATACAATCATGCACCGCATAGCAATATTTTTGGTCAATAACTGACTGTATATATAACAGTGGTCTTGTAAGATTACATGGAGCTGAAAAATTCCTACTGCTTAGTGTAATGTTGTAGTGCAAAGCATTGTTCACATCTTTGTGATGATGCTGATGTAAATAAACCTACTGCACTGCCAGTCATATAAAAGTACAGTACATACAATCATGTCTAATACAAAATACTTGATAATGGATATGTTACTAGTTTATGTATTTATTATACTATACCTTTTATTATTTTAGAACATACTCCTTCTACTTGTGAAAAAAAAGTTACCTGTAAAACACTCTCAGGCAGCTCCTTCAGGAGATATTCCAGAAGACAGCATCATCATTTTAGGAGATGATAAATTTGAAGGCAGAAGATAGTGGTATTGTTAATCCTGACCTTGTGTAGGCCTTGGTTAATATGTGTGTGTTTGTCTTTGTTTTTGGCAAAAATGTTTATGAAATTGAAAAGAATTTTAAATAAAAAAGTATAGAATAAGGATTGTAAAGAAAGAAAATATTTTTGTACAGCTGTACAATGTGTTTGTGTTTTATGCTAAGTGTTACTGTAAGAGTCAAAAGTATTTTACAAACTGAAGATTTATAAAGTAAAAACGTTAGTGAGCTATGATTAATTTACAATGGAAAAAAGAAAACATGTTTATGAAATTAGTTTAGCCTAAGTGTAGTGTTTATAAAGTCTATGATAGTGTATGGTAATGTTGTAGGTCTTTCACATTCACGCTCCACTCACTTAATGACTCATCCAGAGCAACTTTCAGTCCTGTAAGCTCCATTCATAGGAAGTACTCCGTGCAGGTGTTCCATTTTTTTTTTAATCTTTTATACTGTCTCTTTACTCTACCTATTCTGTTTAGATAAGATTAGATAAACAAATGGTAACACATTATGTTACGATTATCTACAGTATTCAGTACACATGCTGTACTAGCCTATAGCCTAGGAACAAATAGGCTCTATCATACAGCTTAGATGTACAATCGGCTATAACATCTAGGTTTGCATAGGTACACTCTATGAAGTTCACACAACAAAATTGCCTGATGATCCATTTGTCAGAACACACCCCTGTTGTTAAGTGGCACGTGGCTATATAATCAAAAAGAACCATTAAATATAGATGTTTAAATACTGATGGCATCAAAATATAACCTCACTATACTGAAATAAATGTGTACAGTGGACTAGTTTTCCTATATATTTTTGTACATTATCCTCATTAATACCATACAACAAAGCCTGAACCTCAGAGAAGTTAAATGACATGTCCAAGATCAACAAAGTTAGAACCAAATATAAACCCAGGGCTGTAATTATATTAGCTTTAGATTTCCTGGAATAATAATAATATCACTGAGAAATGGCATGAATAATCCTATTCACATTAGGATATGCATACATAAACAGTCATACATGTTGAAGTTAGAGCAAAATAAAAAATTCAGTAATATCAAAGATTTTAACATTTTTCTTAGTTGTATTTTCTAAAATTTCTACAACTGGTATATGTTCCTTGATTACATAATTTTTATAATGGGATGGCAGGCAGTTTCCCATAAATAGCAGCATACACAAGCAACAGGAATATAGTATCTGCCAATATTTTATACTAGTAGTAAAATACTGTTAGAGTACTTATACAAACTGGAAAGATACTGCTTTTAACAATATTATACTATAGTGACACTAATTAAAATGAATTCAATTTACCTGTGATCCAATTTCAACACATCCCTGTCCCACAGCTTCAGCAAATTTCTCTTTAAAGATGTATCCAATATCCTTCACTCTTTTCAGTATACTTTCTTTTGGATTAACTGTGCAATTCTTTAGAAGATAAAAATGGAAATAAACGTTGATGATACCGTGTCATCAGAATTAATATTTTCTGCTCCATAATATATGACTTTTAAAATTGTTTATAAAACTGTGGAAACACTTTCACAATAACTAGGTAAACACAACTACTGAACGTAAGCAGACAATATAATTTCACTGAATGTTAATGACCAAAAAATACTAGAGTACAACTAAAAAACCCTAATCTAAATGTTCTGCCACTAGCCTAGAGAAGAGCAACCTTGTTAAGTTTTCCATCAATCAAGAAGAACCTCACACATTCTCATAAAATGTCTTCAATTGAGAGTTATATTGGGATGGATGTGGCTTCCAAAAAAGCAAATGAAATAAAACTAAGACCTGAACTTGATACCATTTCCTAATTTTTTTTTTTTTGAAATGAAGTCTCACTCTGTCACTCAGGCTGAAGTGCAATGGCACGATCTCAGCTCACTGCAACCTCTTCTTCCCAAGTTCAAGTTATTTTCCTGCCTCAGCCTCCTGTGTAGCTGAGATTATAGGCATGTGCCATCATGCCTGTCTAATTTTTATATTTTTAGTAGAGATGGGGTTTCATTATGTTGGCCAGGCTGGTCTCGAACTCCTGACCTCAGATGATCCACCCACCTCGGCCTCCCAAAGTGCTGGGATTACAGGTATGAGCCATTGTGCCTACCCCATTTCCTAATTTTAAAATGTGCTTTGAAAGAGTTATGAATTAGCTAAATCATTTAATTACAGAAATACAAGATAGGGAAACAGTTGCAAAAGAAGTTCTAACACATGTATCATTTGGAGTGAGGCTATTCAACTTTGATAACTGAAACACATCATAAGATGATGTATTAAAATGCATATAATATATAATTCATATTATGACATATTAAAAGTAATCACACCATGATTCTCACCAGCTACAAAGATTTATTCTATTTTTTATCCTTTCTACATAGAACGCATTCAAAATATACATGAGAAAATAAAGTTTCTAAAATTAAGATTATGGCCAGGCACAGTGGCTCATGCCTGTTATCCCAGCAATTTGGGAAACTGAGGTGGTCAGATCACCTGAGGTCCGGAGTTCAAGACCAGCCTGGGAAACATTGTACACCATCTCTGCAAAAATTACAATAATTAGCTGGATGTGGTGGCAGGCTCCTATAATCCCAGCTACTTGGGAGGCTAAGGCACAAGAATCACCTGAACCCAGGAGATGGAAGTTGTAGTGAGCCAAGATTGTGCCACTGCACTCCAGCCTAGGCAATAGAGTGAAACTGTCTCAAAAAAAATAAAGTAAAATTAAGATTATAATTTTCTTTGTAATGTGCATTGTCTTTCAACATTTTCACATTCTAGAATATCAGTAATTCTATATTCCTGAAAAAAAAACAGCACACAAATCTTAGAAACATATAACAAGCATTTCCTGTCATAAAAAAATTGTTGCCAAAATGTCCATTAAAATGTTCATAGCGTCTAAGATTTTACATGGAGGGCATTAATTTTAAAAACGAAGAAACTTGGACTAATAAAGAAGTAAAATGAAGGAAAAGCATAATGACCAAGACATATTCACTTTGAGATATGCAGTTTATCATCTACATAATTAAGCTTTTAAGCTTAATTAAAAGTGAAGCTTTAAACTGAGCTCTGGAAAATGTCTTTCACAGGCACTCATATGTTCATTGCTGTGCTATTTACAATAGCAAAGACATAGAATTAACCTAGGTGCCCATCAATGATGGATTGGTTAAAGAAAATGTGGTACTTATACACCATAGAGTATTATACAGTCATAAAAAGAAGGAAATCATGCCCCTTGTAGCCACATGGATGTAGCTGGAGGTCATTATCCTAAACAAATTAACAGAGAAAAACAAATACTGTATGTTCTCCCTAATAAGTGGGAGCTAAATATCGGGTACTCATGGACATAAAGATGGCAACAATAGACACTGGGGACTACTAGAGGGAAGAGGGAATGAGGGGATTGAGGGTTAAGAAACTATATAAAAACATAAAGATCATATAGTTTCCAAGTTTAAAAAAAATGTCTTTGTGGCAGAAGTTTTTTAAAATAAAAAAGAGCTCCTACATACTCCAAATACTGGAGAAAGTATTCAAAATGATATCAGAAGAAAGAGCTTATCATTCTTTTAATTCTTTCATGCTCTCTTGCTAAAAGATTTAAGTAATTGGGTACATATGTTTTGGCATATATTCTTGTGCTATATATAACTCATAAACAAAAGCAACTTTATGTACGTTGGACAAACAAAATCAATTCTGAGCCAAAACAATTATGAACATTATGACAGAAATTACTTTGCTAATTCCTAGGGGAACATAGCAAAGAGATGACAACAGATTATGACAAAATCGCAGGCAGGTTATGGCAACAAATGAATTGTTAACAACTACAAAAAGCACAGTTGCTGAAATTAGTCAAATTTTAATAGGTCTCCCAGCCCTATGTTCAATTTCAGTGGATGAGCATTTCAGTGGGTCCCAACCCTCATCTGAGTTTAAGTAAGGAGTGAAGGGGTGAGCAAGCAATATAGATGATAGTTTCATTTTCTCTCTTTCTCTCTCCTTGTCTTCAGGGGAGAGAGGGTAGCAGATGCCTTCAGATATCAAACTCAGGATCTATCAGGAGTTGCAAACTACAATATTCACAGGACCAGGTAAGAATTGTAAATAAAAATGGGTTAAATATTGGATTAAAAAGATTGTAAGGGTATGGGGAATGTTAAGTCCTATCTAACACTACATTCAAAGGAAAGATCTTAAAAGTAGCCAGAGAAAAAACGATGGATTAATTATAAAGGAACGACAATTAGATTGATTGACAGAAGACTTTTTAATTAGCAAAAATGGGATCCATGGAATGTAATATCTTTTAACTTATAAGAGTTTAAAAAGTAAATGTCAACTATGGAATTGAAGATCCAGCAAAGCTATTTCACCAAAAATAAGGGTAAAGAAAATTTCAGACCAATGAAACAAAACAAAACCTCAAAAAGTTCATCCCAAATTAATACCACTAAAGTATTTATCAAAGGATGTATCTGAAGAAGAAAAAAATTTATCTAAGAAGTGAGGCATAAGTTGCAAGAATGGTAAGGCAAATAGGTAGACATAAAAATTTTTCAAATAACATTGTATAAATGAAACAATGCTACTAATAATATCTAATTTGTAGGATTAAAAAAGCAAGAAAAGATTATGAATACATGTTAGATAGCAAATAAGTGTTTTAAAAAGAACTTAGTACTTTAACTTTTAATTTCAAGTTTCTTTGCCAATATATTACAATAAATAATGTTTCACATTTGGCTTACGTTAAAATAGGAAATCAGATTTTCTGATGGCTGATCACTTGCTGAATTTAAAATCATCATTAATTGTTGGATAGTATTCATAACAGTCCTAGAGGGGAAAAAATAGGAAGATATGTTAAGCAATGAAGGGAGGGGAAAAATGAAAAAATGAAATGTTATCTATCTCCCAAGTTAAACGTATCTTTAAATACACTGCCTCCCACTTATCTTTAAGTCCCCTGAAATAAGACTGTGGTTTAGGCCGGGCGCGGTGGCTCAAGCCTGTAATCCCAGCACTTTGAGGCGGGTGGATCATGAGGTCAAGAGATCAAGACCATCCTGGTCAACATGGTGAAACCCCGTCTCTACTAAAAAATATACAAAAAATTAGCTGCGCATGGTGGCGCGTGCCTGTAATCCCAGCTACTCAGGAGGCTGAGGCAGAAGAACTGCCTGAACCTAGGAGGCAGAGGTTGCCGTGAGCCAAGATCACACCATTGCACTCCAGCCTGGGTAACAAGAGCGAAACTCTGTCTCAAAAAAAAAAAAAAGACTGTGGTTTATAAGAAATTACATTTTGCTTAAATCTTTAGGAAAATATGTATTCACAACCAATAAGTTATAGCTATAGAATGGAAATACTTATTTACCAATAAAACTATGTATCAACAAAATAGTGGTATTATTTTTAGGAGAAACTATATAAACTAGTGACAAAATGGTACTGTTTCCAGAAAACATTGCTACAATCAAATATTAAACACTTTTAAACTAAAGACAGTAAGATATTTAGCAACTCAAGTAAAGAATCAGATGATTCTTCTTTACAGAGATCTTCAAGAAGAAAGGATACTAAGATCCTGGATACATTTAAAAGTCACCATTTTCAAAGCATAAAATTAGGTCAATCTCCTAAGATCCCTTTGATTCTATAATTTTCTGTGTGTGCATATGTGGAGGATATATGGTAAATATCAATGTTACAATTCTGAAGTAGGTGAACATTTGGGATACTTTAATTATGCAAAGAACTGTAGAATGTTTACAGCTGAAAAGATCCTCAACTATTATTTAGTAAAATATGCTCAGTGTTCTCGCTAAGCATGCCTAAACCAGTATTCACACTTCCTCACCTTTCTTTTTTTCCTTTTTTTTTTTTTTGAGAAGGAGTCTTGCTCTGTCATCCAGGCTGGGGTGCAGTGGTGTGATCTTGGCTCACTATAACCTCCACTTCCTGGGTTCAAGTGATTCTCCTGCCTTAGTCTCCTGAGTAGCTTGGATTACAAGCACCCACCACCACATCTGGCTAATTTTTGTATTTTTAGTAGAGATGGGGTTTCGCCATGTTGCCCAGGCTGGTTTTGAACTCCTGTCCTCAGGTGATCTGCCTGCCTTGGCCTCTCAAAGTGCTGGGATTACAGGTTGGTGTGAGCCACCACACCAGCCTCACCTTTCAAATATATTGCAATGAGGCTTTTATATGCTTCTGTGTCCACTAATCATATTTAACCTACAGTGATTAAAGTCACAAATGACCAACTGGTAAAAACAAAAGACTTTTCTCATTTGTTCTAATACTTAACCTTCCTTGAAGCATTTGACACTGTTAAAGAAACACTTGCTCTTAATGAAACTCCTTCCCTCCCTCAGCTTTCTTGGCTTCACTCTCTGGGCTCCCCAACCATACTTTCCCATTCTCTAGAACAGCAGTTCCCACCACTCATCTGACAGGAGGTAGACTTCAGGCGGTAATGCTTGCCTGCCCACCACTCACTTCCTGTTGTATGGCCCGGTTCCTAATGGGACTGGTCCCTGGCCTGGGAGCTGGCCTCCTGCTCTAGAACCTAACAACTTCTATCTAGTCCTTAATGCTAGCATTCCTTAGGCTTCAGCCCTTAGCCACCCACTCTTGCCATGATACACCCTCACTTCAAGCAATCTCATTTATTTTTACGGTTTTAACTCCCCTGATGATTCCCAAATCTATAAAAGGCTATCCTATTGCTTACTAGATATCTTCTTCAGAAATGCCTTAAGAACAATATTCTAAGTATGAATACATCAAATATTTATCAAATCTGTTATTGCTCCTTCATTGTCACCACTACTGTTGGTTCAGATCTTTAAAACCTCTCAACTACACTGCTGCAATACACAAGTCCAGAGATTTTCACACACTATGTCTGCAGTGGCAAGGCCTATGCACATTCCTCAGTGGAACGGGACACACAATTTTTAAAAAGAAAAAAAAATCTTCCTCAGGTTATTCTAATTTGCACACCTGATTAAGAACCACTGAGACAGACTGACAAGTCCATTCCTCACTCTTTCTTATTCTCCTCAGTCTATCCCCCCAACAAACTATTACCATGTGAACTTGCAAAAATTATTTCTGATTTTATCCTTACTCCTGCTTAACATCCATTTATAGCACAGGCTAGAGTATGCACATGCTATAGTCCAAATTTGTGAGTACAGCATATAAGGCCCTTCATATCTAGTACCCACTCTCCTCTCCTGTAACTTCCTACTCTCATTTTACAGTCAATCAATACACAGCTGCTAATAGTTCTCCAGATACATTGTTGTGTGAAATTGTGAAATACATGTTTGGTCTTTGACCCCATATCCTGACACACAACTCCTAAAATTCTTAGAAACTCCAGTGATATCTTTTTTGTGTGCTAATGAATTGACTGATGGCTGGCAGCTCCTAGGAAGCTTCTGGATGGGGGCTAGTCACTAAAAAGACCAGGCAGAGTTAGAGGATTGGAGCCTTCAGCCCCACGCCCCAACCTCTGGGGAGGGGAGGGAAGCTGAAGGTTAGGTTGATAATCGATAGCCAATGATTTAATCTATCATGCCTATGCAATGAGGCATCCATAAAAAACCAAAAGGGGAGGGTTCAGAGAACTTCCAGATAGCTGAACACGTGGAGGTTCCTGGACAGCTGCCTGCCCAGGGAGGACATAGAAGCTTCCTGTCCCATCCCCTATACCTTAGCCTATGCATCTTTACACCTGTACCCCTAATATCTTTATAATAAACCAGTAAACATAAGTGTTCCCCTGAGTTTTGTGAACCACTCTAGCAAATTAATCTAACTCAAGTGTGTCATGGGAACCCCAACTTGAAGCCCTTTGGTCAGAAGATCCAAAAACCCAGACTTGCAACTGGTATCTGAAGTTGCAGGTAGTTTTGGGGTCTGAGCCCTAAACCTGGGTGATCTGAGACTATCTCCAGGTAAACAGTATGAGAAATAAATTAGAGGACACTCAGTTGGTAACTGCTGCAGAACTGACTGCTTGTTTCTCAGTGACGAAAAATTCCCCACATTTGGTCACAGAAGTCTTCTGTGTGACAGCAGTTTTCTCCACTTACATGTTTCATACTTCCATCCCTTTTCACATGCTGTTCCCACTCCCTAAAATCTTTATCCTGTGATACAGACCTTTACATGTTTCAAAATGCAGCTCAGACATTGCTTTATAGTTCCTTCTGTGTCATCTCATTAGCTTGTTTATAAATATATACGACACTTATATGAAAATGCATTTATTTATACATATATAGTCATTTGAAATATATTACTGATTACCTACTATATAGTCATTTGAAATATATTACTGATTACCTACTATGTACCAAGTATTAGGACAGGGCCTAATTGTTAGATAGTCAACAAAAAAGTCATGGGCTCTGTAATATGGAATTTAAAGGCTATTTTGGGTATTAGTTAAAAACAAGTAAACACAAATGAATCTGTCAAAACAAATTGGGATACATGCTATAAAGGAATAGAACAGGATGCTATGAGAAATAATAATAAGAAACATCAGAGAGAAATATCTTTTCAAAAGCAATATTTGTGCTGAATGTAGAGTAGCAGTTAGTAATCCATGGAAAGAAAAGAAGGAAGAGTTTCAAGAAGACAGACTATCAAGTATGAAGGTTTTCAAAGTATAAAAACACTTGGAAAGCCCAAGAAACTGAAAGAAAGCCAATGTGTGGCTAATGCAGAATGAGAAAGAAAACAAGATGAGGTTGGAGAGGCAACAGAAACCAGATCATATAGGGTCTTTTAGGCATTGTTGAGGAATTTGCACTGTATACCAACTGCAGTGGAAAGCAGTCAGAGGGTTTTAACAGCAAAGTGAACATAACTGATTTACATTTCTAGGAGAAATTCTTGGGGCACTGTGGAGAATAGATTTGAGGAGACAGGAAGAGTGATGAGACCAGAAACAGCAAGATCAGGTAGTAGGCTACTGCAAAAAATCCAAGAGAAAGAGAAAGATGTCTTGGACAAGAGCTGTGAGAGCAGAAATAGAGAGAAGTAGATGGCTCAGGAAATATTTTAGAGGTAGATTATTCAATAAGCCTTGATAGTAGATTTTGATGTGGGAAGTGAGTGAGGAAAAAGACATAAAAAAATAGTTTTCCTCCTTTAAGACTGTATGCAGATCAAACAGTGATACTTTTTTTCTTTTTTATTTACTGAAATGGAATTCATTCCTATTTTGGGTTATGTTCCTTAAGGACAGACAAAACTAGGTACAATAACCGTATCTTAAGCAACTAGTAAAATGCCCAGCATACAAAGATTATATATACATTTTTTTTCCTTTTTTTTTGAGACAGAATTTCACTCTTGTCACCCAGACTGGAGTGCAACATTGCAACGTTGGCTCACTGCAACTTCGGCCTCCTAGGTTCTAGCAATTTTCCTGCCTCAGCCTCCCAAGCAGCTGGGATTACAGGTGTGTGCCACCAGCTGGGGCTAATTTTTGTATTTTTAGTAGAGATGGGGTTTCACCATGTTGGCTAGGCTGGTCTCAAACTCCTGACCTCAGGTGATTTGCCCACCTTGGCCTCCCAAAGTGCTAGGTAGGATTACAGGTATGACCCACTACACTCGGCCTTCAATATATATTTCTTACATGTATGTATGAATACATAAAGGAACATGTAAACAAATATGAAGCATTATAAAGCAATGAATAAAAAAATTATAATATAAATAAAAGTAGGAAAATTCATACCTAACTGGAGTGTGCGGAGAAATCACATTCACCTCTTCATCAAGGTTACTTTTTCGTGGTGTTCTCTGTGCTTCAAAACTATATAACGATAAGTGAAGTCATTCACATACTGAAAATTTATATTTTGTGCTTTATGCATCAAAAAAGCAGTATAATACTTCTGGTGTTTCATAAAATCATATAAAATGATAACTCAATGATAGACATGACAAGAAATAGATGACCCAACTACTGCTTAAATAAAATCTTTTTCACTATTGTTTTTAATTGTGGGTCTCTTTCCATTATGTTTATGACAAAAAAGGTATACCAATCATTAAGTATTTTTTTCTAAAGTGAAAGTCAGATGCTTTCTCCCTGGTGTTATTGATAACCAAGTTGTTCAGTAGTAAAAAGCCTTAAAACTCAAGTTTTTCAATGCATTATTCCTTGTAAAAACCTTATTTCCACTTAAATAAAACTAAAAACATTTTACTGTTTAATTTCTAAATTATGCATATTTTCAGTTTCATATTAAAAGAGTTCATGCTAATGACACAAAATTAACTTTACTTGAGTCAAAAATTTTAATAATCACTCTCAACCATTCCAATTTTAGGTTTCTACAGGATAATAAAAGAGACTACACTTTTGTATTAACTTTTTTTAATAAACCAGGCAGGCAATAGTATATGAAAGGATAGAAATAAGATAGAGACCACTATTTGAAGAAATTAATTACTTTAGCCATTATCTTTTGGTGCACATTTTTAAAAATTACACTCAAGAAGGTAACTGTTATAGGATACACAATTCACATTAAATCTGTATTTGTAGGTAAGTTATATGCTTAAAATACTGTTAACCTTTTCTTTGTATAAAGATGTTTGCAAGTAATTTATTATAAATGATATTTAAAGGTCGCTAAGCTAACTAAAAAACTATATTATCTACTTAGATCAGTATCAACCTATATCAAAAGTAAATCAATCAAATATACCATGTGTAATACCTGTCTATAGAATCAGTCTGAAGAGTTTTATCATGATCCAAAAATAATCTTGCATCTAGATCTTTATTTTTAAGATAAATTTCTTCGTATCGTTTAGACAGACTTTCAACCTCAAAAGAAAAAAATCACTGACAATTATCCTTCACATGTCATTACATCTCTCAGCACACAGAGGCACAGATTTCATTAAAGAATTTTTGTACAATATACATTTAATTTTACAGTGTAGACTGAGTTCACATGCAATATAAATAAGGTCTATCTAAAAGTGAAGTATAGAAAATTGCAACATTTTTTCAACTTTGATTTCAGGTGTATTTCATGCATACAACACATTTATTAGAATTTTATATAGACAAAGATAGCCAATGCTACAAAATAGTACTCAAGATAAAAATAGGTATTATTATAACTGCTGTGGATTTTGTGACCTGATTAAGAAATATTTACCTATTCTTTAATAAAACATTGTTTTCTATCAAAAAAATTAAAAATCCACAATTCTACTTGGCTAGATTCTTCTTGGGCAAAACAGAATTCTGATATACAGTAAATTGATCTAAGAAAGTTAGACAATTATCCCCCCTCCACAGCCTCAAAACATTAATATTTTATTAAATTTGCTTTCAGATTACCTCTGGAAGTCCATTAGATGTTACAAGTCCAAGAGAATTCATAAAAGGTATAAAATTTTTAAAATAAACATTTTTCACCTGAAAAAGATGAAGTTACAATATGATCACTAAAATTTAAAAAAAAAAAACCTAAATCTGTCACTATTAACACTTGAATGAAAGTGTTAACTAACATTTGATCAATGACATCCATTCACGATAGTGTAATATTTATAATTAATTCAATTATTTACTTTTTAATGCATATGAAGGTAGTAGAAAGCTGTTAAAATAAGTGGGATTTATAGGAAGAGAATCCATTGAAACCAATTTCAATATTCCATGTTTAACAAATGATCAAAAGACAGGACACACAAAAAATTAAGCAACTTGACCCCTGGCAGAGTTTGAATTAAAATCCAATCTGTCTACTATCAAAGCCAATGCTCTTTCCACTTTTCTACATTGCCTCTGATTTCTCTCTAGAGTGTATTTTTGGACATTTCACTCATAGGTCATCTGAAATCTGCTCAGGAAATATCAAGTCATTTTTTAAGCATACATTTAAGAAAATAATTTCACACCCAAAATTAAATACTCAATAATTCATTTCAAATCCAAGTAACTCTATTTAGTGGTAACTTCTGATAGAGAAAACTTCTTAATTTTCATGTACTTAAATGTATTAATTGTTTCCTTTATAGGCTGTGGATTTTGTGACCTGATTAAGAAATATTTACCTATTCTTTAATAAAACATTGTTTTCTATCAAAAAAATTAAAAATAAAAATGTTTTGTGGGAATATATATGGCTACATGCAAAAGCACCCTATACTTAACATGGATCTTTAAAAAAATCATACACACACACTCAAAAAACCTGGAGCTATATTCCTGGCCATTTTATACTTACAATGTATTAACAGAATTTTAAACAATTTGCTTTTCTTTATTTATCTTCCTTTTCCAAACTTGGAGTCTACATTTACTAAGATGGGAATAATTTAATATCAGTTTCTACCTCTATTTCCCAAATAAGTTGTATGAATTAAGCCTCTGAAATACTTATTAGTCTTGTTTCCTAGTTAACTCCCATTTACCTACAATATTTATAAAGTGAATAGTTCTAATTAACCAATTAGCATGACTAAGCAAGTTATATAACCATAAACTAATCAATTAATTATATATTAGCTATGTAAACCATAAATTATATGTAAACCATATATATCATAAATTAACCAACCAGAATGACTAACCAATAGTTATATAACCATAAGTGCAATATGTAGTCAATCAAGAGTCAATTAAAATACCACCTTTGACTGATTTAAGTTTTTAACAGACTGTACTTTAAAAATCATAACTATGAAGATTCTAAATTATAAGAAATTCTTTAAAATGAAAACTAGAAAAGTGATATATTCCTAATCATAAAAATGAAAATTTTCAAGTAGTTCTGAAATCTAGATAATTAACAATCAGGAAACAGAAAACTACATTTACTACTATTCATTATCTACAAATAAGCAATAAAACCAGAGTAAAAAGAAATATTTCAACTACATTTTTCAGCTTATTTGCAAAGATAATTTGTAATTCAGAAAAGAAAGCATATATATTTATGTGTATATAAGTATACTTATATGTACTATCAATATTTCTACATAATAAATATTTTCTTTTCCAGAATTTCTTTTTTAGAATATATGAAGTTGATGTATTTATATCTATACACAGTTGACTCTTGAACAATGCAAACAATGCAGGGGTTAAATGTGTCAACCCCCCATGCAGTAAAAAATATGTGTATAACTTTTTTATTTTTTATTATTTTTTTAGAGACGGGGTCTCTCTATATTGCCAGGCTGGAGTGTAGTGCCTGTTCACAGGTGCAATCACATGCATTACAGTTTTGAACTCTTGGGCTCAAGCCATCCTTCCATCTCAGTCTCCCAAGTAGCTGAGACTACAGACCTATGGATTACTTCTGAGTACCCAAAATTTAATAGCCTGCCATTGACTGGAAGCCAATCAATGACAAAGATTCAATTCACATATATTTTGTATATGTACTATATATACATACTATATATACCATCTTCTTATGATAGAGAAAAGAAAATATTAGGAAAATTGTAAGAAAATACATTTACAGTCAATTTATATAATCTGTTAATAAAAATCATCTGTCTGAAACAGCAGGCAACTGCAGCTACAGACCTTAATCTACAGTACATATCAAGCAATTCAACTTTTTCTTATAATGTCATGATTTTTCTCTGCTTCTTTTGAGTTCTTCCAACATCACTAGTGCAACTCCTTATGGATCCCATGGCGTTATTCAAATTTTATGGTATTGCACTAAACATGACAAAAAATAGTGACAACCTCAAGAGTTCACTTTATATTGCAATATGCAATTTACTGGAGAGATGAACTGCTCACATGGAGATGATTAATCACATGGCAGCTTTTAAAGTGGATACAACACTTGAGCTTACTGTAATATATTGCAACAGGCTACAAAATTATTATGATAGTACAATATGGACTAGTTAATTTTATGACTAATTGCATCTTGATGTTCGTTCACATTTCTCATGATTGCAAATGGCACCATGTACAGTCTGTGTTTGCGTAAGTTTTGATAAATTTTAACTTTTTATAATAGATTTGTATTTATTTTATGGTATAGTAAATTCTAAAATAGACTAGTATCTACATATATTTTATGCATTTATGATATGCCTTTTTCTTAATTTTTTTCAGTATTTCTAGGCTACATTGTTTGTGGCAAATTTTTTCAAATTACTGCAAATCTCCAAATATTTTTCTAGTATATGTAATTAAATAAACCTGTGTATAAGGGGACCCTTGCAGTTCAAACCTGTGTTGTTCAAGAGTCAACTGTATATTTGTTGAAATTAGTAAGCCATAGTGCTGAAAATATGACATATCTTTATAAATCATTCTAATACTTCTTAAACTAGATTTTGGGATCACACTCCCATTCCTTCCCAGTGTTGACAGAGAAATTTCAAAGATGTAACTTTTTTTTTCACAGCTGTCTGGTGGTAGTGGTTGTGAACAATACAGCAAACTAAGAGAAAAGCTGTATGGTAAGAAGGAAAGAAGCACTACTAACAGATGTCCCAAAGTCTAATGTAGTCTCTGTTAATAATAAGCTATCAGTCCCTGGAAGCTTGTTTACTCATTATAAAAAGGAGATTGAACACATTATTTGTAAGATTCCTTCTAACATCCAGATTGTATGAACAAGATAAGTAATTCCTGGGTATTCACATGTATTCTCCAGCAGTCATTATGTGCTGTAATATTTAGAAAGAGTAACTATAGAAGGCCAAACAGAAATTTAATGTTGGTATCACTTATCACTAAACCAAAACAGTAGAGCACTAGAGTTTTCTAAGCAGGGCTTTTTTAGTTCGTTTGATTGTTTGTTTGTTTTTAAAGACACAGTCTCACTCTGGCACCCAGGCTGGATTACAGTGGTGCCATCGTAACTCACTGTTAGCTCAAACTTCTGGGCTCAAGGAATACTCTTGCCTCAGTCTCCCAAGTAGCGGGAACTACAGGCACACACCACCATGCCCAGCTAATTTTTTAAAATATGTATTTTGTAGAGACGGCGTTTCGCTATGTTGCTCAGGCTGGTCTAGAACTCCCAGCCTCAAGAAATCCTCCCACTGAGGGCTCCCAAAAGGCTGGAATTACAAGTATGAGTCACCACATTCAGCCTTGGCTGGGTATTTTAAAACATTAGGGGTATCAGTAACCTCAGAAGAATTAAAAAACAACTACATTTGAAAACTATTGTCTTGATTATATACTTTTCAGTAATTCCAGAGTGAGGGAGCTACTCTCTTTAAGATTAAAGTAACTAAATTTTTTCTAAATATTTTGCAACTGCAAAAGAGTTAGCACTAATTACAAAAAAACATGCTCATCGCGAAAGAAGTAAATACTGTTAGGGAGAACTTACATCTAAATCTACTTTGTTTTAAAGAAATCGTAAAGTTAAATTACCTCATCTATATTACATTCGTGTTCTTTACAGAGAACTTCAATAATTCTCGTATCATTTTCTAGTTGTTTGGCTATCCGTGCACTCCTGTTCTGACCTCGCCTGGGTGTTCGAGGTGAACCATTAATGGGTATAACAGCTGTTTCTGTAAAAAGGGTAAATTAGATAAGAACAATTGTACATTCTATCATATAAAATAATGAAGTATTCTAACTATAACTTAGGTCAAAAATAATCTTGGTAACATTATATTACTTTTACTTATTTGGTTTCATTAGAAGTACAGTAATTTCATCTATATCTACTAGGAATTATGTACTAATATGAATATTTGCCATCCCTCTTCTCCTCTGCTCCCAAATAGCCCAAAGAGAACTGGGTAAAATACAGTCTCATAAACAAATACAAAGAGATGGCATGGAAATAGCCAACTTTCAAACTAAATCTAAGTGTATCTTAGTCTGCAGAAGGAAAAAAATGTGGTCTATCTTAGAGTCTTAAAAACAATTAGCAAATATTTCCAAATTCAATTTCTAAACATAGCATAAAAACAATACTTTAAGTTTTAGTAAATTATGATGCCTTTAAATGATAGGTATAAAATATATTATAGTAAATATAGTAATATGACAATAAACCATGATTTTAAAAAAATCTCCTGGATTATTTTAAGCATTCCCAATCCAAACTAAATACACTTTCAGCTATTAAAAATATTACAGATGATTAAGTATAAAAAGTATATACTGCCTCTAGATCCAACCAACAACTTATAAAAATTTGAGAGGACAGAGGAACATGTTAAACTATAATCAAGAATATGATCAGCAAAAACCACACTGGAAAACTCAAGACAATCTGATTACTTAAAAAATAAACTATAAGGAGAAAAAGAAAAAAGAATGGAAGAGGAACTTTTAAAAGAGTTTTTAAAACATATCAACCAATCACAAAGTATAAATCTTAAGATTCTGATTCAACCCATAAAAAAATTTTTAATTATTTTTACAAGAAAATCTGAGCACTTTCTATATATTCAGTAATATTAACGAGTCACTATTTATTGATTTTTTAGGTGTGATAAACAGCAGTGTAATTATGCTTTTTTAAAAAGTATTTTTTACATATATATACTGAGATGTACAAGGATAAAATGGTATGCAAAGATGTGCTTCAAAATAATACAGCTGGGGGAACTGAGCAGGCAATAGGGGACAGATTAACTATAAGTTATCTGTTGAAGTTACATAATAAGTACATGAAGGTTTATTTTACTACTGTCTATTTTTGTATTCATTTGAAATTCTCTACAACGAAAGTTAATTAACAGTTACCACATTCAGTCAGTTCAATAATACCTCATGCTGAATTCTCTTAAACAGAGCACTTAGAGAATTCAAATGTACATTTGAATTATCTGAAACAACAAAGATTGTCAACCTAAAGTAATATCCAACATCAACTTACTAAAGTTATAAAATTGAAAAAAAGTAAGGTAAGGGTACATAAAAGTAAATTTATTAAACTCAGGAGAAAATTTGAAGCATATTTACTGTTTTCCATATATAACCTTTTTATTTTTCTTTGCATGCGGTTTCTGCTAAATGAAGGTTTCTGCCTTCTCTGCCAAGCTATGTTCAACATATTTTTAAAATTCTGCTCCAGTCTTCATTTTTCTACTAAATTCTTGTTCACAAAGTTTAATGGGGCTTCGGCCTTCTAACCACTTCAACAACACTTTGAAACTTCCATGTTACCCATCATTTTTAGCATTAGTACTTTCAACATTTCAGAAGCAAGGAATTAGTTTGAATTTAGGTAAGTTTACATTTTTTTGTATATAATAAGTGACTTTGAAATCTTATTCTTGAGGCCATGAAAGGAAACAATTCTAGGCTAAGAGAAATATATGTGTTACTCATTCTTGCCTAATGCTATCTAACTATATTAGCAAGTTATTTTTATTTAAATATACTTCCTATCTCATCATCCACTGAAATAGTATGAGTTATAGTTTATATAAAAAAGCATAGTTATTACAATATCCAATAGTAATAAAAACTTAATTAAGCTGTTCCTATAAAGTAGGCCACTCTTTCCCATGCAATTTCATTCCTATCTTTTTCTTGTCTCTTGCTTTTCTTTACTGGAAATGCCCTCCCCCAACATCTTTACTAAGAATGTCTTTCCCCAATCCTACCCACTCTTCCAGGCTAATTTCAAATACCACTTCTTTCATATGGTATTCTTTGGTCTTCCACAGATGGAAAACTTTCTTGTCTCTTGACCCTCCACAGCATTTGTTGTATTTTGACCCAGACCCAGACCATTTTATATCATATACTGTAATCATGTTTACATGTCTTATCTTCCTTCCGTAACTTACACTACTTATGGGCAAAGTCCATGTCTGATTTAGTTTTTTATCATCCTCTCAGCATTAGAACCGTATTTGGTACCCTCTAGATATTCAATAAGCAACTGCTGAATGAGAAAGTAAAAGGGGAATAAATTAAATACTTACTATATGGTTCTTTGAGCAACACAGGAGGTGAGAGTTTAATAAAATAGTCAAGGACACATAACATTAACTGAAATGAAATCACCAGATCATCTTCCATTTGTAATACTTCCCCTGAAAATAAAAAAATTTACATTTTTAAAGAAAGTTAGAGATTCAGATCTTTGTATCAGAGAAAATTGTAGAGTATATCCATAAATTCATTCAATAATCACTATCAGCATGGTAAAGATTTTTCTTTTTTTGTAAAAAAAAAACTTTTTTAAGGTATAAAATATATAAAGTAGAAATATATAAAGTTATGAAATTATAAATCAAGTGTTAAGTCTACTCTGAGAATTTTACCCTTAAATATTTCTATAATAATTCTTTAGGTCTTAGACTGTTTGGATATAACTGAATTGTAGATGGTAAAGGAAATTTGATGTGTTCTTTGTTTTTAAATAATTAAAACGGGTTAATTTTTTTTAAAATAATTCTTTTAACTATGACTCTCTTAAGGTGGCCAAAATAATAATTTTTATGTCTAAAATTATAAATTTTGCTTTTTAAAATTTATTTCTAATTTTAAGAGTTATAGAATGTATTACTCCAGAGAAAGAGGCTAAAGTATGATAAATGCTAATCTTTAATTCTAATTTTATAATTTTTTATATATAATATAGTTGTATAATTTTATTTATAATTAGAATTAAAATCTTTACAATTTTATAAATATTATATAAAATTACTATTTATTAGAATTTATTCTAATTATTCCATTTATTCTCACTATCTTAAAGTTTTAAATTATTCATAAAATTTATTTTATTCTAATTATATCTAAACCTTATATATTTTTAATTTCAACCCCTCTAATATATCACAATAACCAAAACCATTAAGAAATAACAAAATATATAAATTTAAAGTAATCTATAAAATAATTGTTCAGAATAAAATCTTTAAAGTTAATAGAACATATACACAACTAGATGGCTATGAGAAAATAAATCCATATAACAGATACTTGAGAAAACAAATAGTGTAGCTACATAAAACATACAAATCATGATAAAACACAGCTATTACATATTTGCTTATGGCTCCATGTTATACATTATTTTTAAAAGGAACTTCAATTTGATTCACTTTCTATCTTCTGAGTACCTGACTACTAAACTAGTAATAATCTCAACAAACATTGAAAGTGCAGAAACTTTGTGAGAAAACAGATAACTCTGCATCTTTATAGGTTTTCTAGATAAAATGGTATGGTGCAAAAAATATGTTTGCAATATATTCACAAATAAGTTATTTTAAAATACCATAGTAGTAAAGAAAAATATCAAGGATTTCTAGGTAAAAACCGTAGAGTGAAGTCAAATGAAAGAATCTCTCTCAAGTACATTCTTTTGCTTTCAATGTATTAGGTATTGAAATGCTGGTACCACCAATACCAAATGGGAGACTGAAAGAGACTAACTCAAAGGGCATCCTCATCTTCTGTCTCTCTAACTTGGAGGGAGATACAGCTGATGAGAGAAGGGTAAAATGGAGGACATAAACAACTGTAGATTATTTTTTGACAGCATAGACTCCAGCATGCTGTTGAACTGGGAACAATTTGAATCCCCAAACAATCCTGCTATAGAAAAAAGATAAAACTGCCACTAGAAGTGTTCTGTTTTAAAGTTCTTTCTTTGTGCTTTCCTGACCAAAATTATTTTACTGGAATTGTTTATCATGAACAAATATTATTTTTATGAAAACAGCAACATCATTATTCTTCAAAAAAAGAAAGGAAGGAAAGATGGAATATTAGAAACACAAATGAAATAAAACATTTCAAAGGTTGTTTCTAGTACCAGAATTATAAGAACTTGCTAACAGTTAATAAACCATGCAGAGAATGGGGGAAGGAGTACATTACTGAATAAAAATTGGGGAATTTAGTTGAAAGGAATGCCAATTTAAGTATTATATTTAAAATATTAGTATGTAATAAATATAATGAACTGACCTTTAGCTAATAAAAATGTGATCCAAGAAACTTTTAGCACCAATGCAGAATTTATTTCAGTAGATATCCTATTAAACAAATAAAAATCAGAAAAAAAAATCAGGAGAAACATATCACTGAACAAAAGTTTTCAAAATATATCTTTTGAATGTTTTTTGTTGTGCCAAAAAAAAAAAGCTGACTTTAGTTAAATGCATAATAGAATGCAATCCATTTTAAATGCATACTTTACACCTGAATTTATCTCTATTCATTTAATGTTTCTATATCTTAAAATTCTAAGATATGATATTTAGCCCACAGAATGGTATACATTCTTGACCATGAGAAGCTGCAAAAAAAAAAAAAAAAAATTTTTTTAAAAAAGAATAGTACACATTTTGAGATGAAAATTTTGTAAAATACTGAATATTTTAATTCTAATAAAAATATATAAAAGACATAGTATGCTATAGTATACTTTGTTTCACATTACCTTAATATTTTTTGCTTTTTTTCTGATTAATTATCAACACTGCTGATAAAGAGCAGAAAAATAAAGATTTGGATGACTTTAGTTTGCCAATTTAACACTTTGCTTTGATAATCTTCCCATAGACATTCACTTTTTGGAATAGATTGATATCAATTAATCAGTAAATATTCAATTTCCCTTTATATTAATCATCTTCAATACCACTCCAATGGGATCAAAAAACCTCATGTACCACTCATTCTGTTTCCAAAAAAAAACTCTGGAGCTCTACATGGGCATATTGTTAAAGCACGCATTATACATTTAAAATGATCATTTGAAAATTTTAATACAGATTTTTACATTTATTCTCACACATAAATTATGCTGATTCTTGGTTAATAAAGTGCCTGTAACAGACCCTCAATAAAGATTTCATCAATGAATTTGCATTTTTCTCAGAGTTGGTGATATGTTTCCCTGAATCAATTTCCACCTTATTAGTTCTTCCTTATTGTATAAGGCATGTATTTTATACTATGTTCTTTGAGAGAAGATAAATAATCTACATAGGACTTAAATCTATGGGCTTAATTTATGAAGTGGCCTGCTATAATCAATCATACTAACCCTAATTATCAAGATGTTTGAGATTATTCCAGAAAAGTCTTTTTTTTTTTTAAGTGAAAAATTCTCTGAACTACTTACGAACTGCTGGGTTGTGTCAAATATATAAGTTCGCATGTCCTGAAAAGGAAAACATTATGACTTTTTAAGATGTTAACTTTTAACATTTTTTAAAATAATTTAGAAGTCATAGTAATTTTCTCATGCTTTATTCATCTTCCTTTAAGAAGTATGCATTTTAAAAACAAAAAATATACAGCTTTACAAAACAAAGTTCAAGTAGATTTTCCCAATTTATGACACTTCACATCACTGTAATATCTAATTACAATAACTGAATTCCCTATATTCATTTGTAACACTGTATTTGGTTGGAATCCTAGATCAGGTCATAAAAATCTACTTAACTGGTAGTCATATATATTCATATAATCTACCCTAAAATAAACAAGTTGGTATCACAGTTAATCCTCTCAATTACTCTTCAGAAATAAAAGCTATAAATAAGATAGAAAAAACCCTGCTGATCCACCTGAGGTTAGTAAAGTTTACCCTAAATTATCTCATATGACTAGTCAATAAAAATTTTAAAATCCTTTTACAAAGGCCTGAGTGGCCTTTTGAGGCCAAATCAGACTGTTACTCCCTAGTTTAAAATCATTCAAGGAGTTTGCCCTAGGTGCAAAGTCCAAGATTACTATCAATCTGATCCCTTCCTACCTTTCAGCCATTAGCAATATCAAAGTACATCCTGATATTACTGCTTTGGCTTTGGACACATGCTAATCTCTAAGATGCTCGCTCCCGGTTCCCACTCATTTTGCTTGGTGAATTCCTATTTTTCCTGTAAACCCTAATCAGACATTGCCTTCTATAGTTTTTTTCTCTGACCAAAATCACCACTATAGCTACCCTTTGCCCTTAAATATATACAATGTAATGCTTTGTCCACTATATAATTTCTGCTTCTTACAACAGAAACAAATATCCAAGCAGATTCTTGATCTCAGACAGCAGAGCAAACAACCTGGAAGTATCCAGAGAAAATCACTATAGCAGGAAAAAAAATCAGAACTGTACCCCAAATCACTCCTACCAACTAGCCCCAAAATTCTGTATCTAGGACAAAAAAATTGACGATTATGGATTTTGAAGTACTAGTATGTATAGAATACTCATTAAAATTGGCTGAAAGAAGTTTTTGCTTGATTTGTTTATTAGAGAGGTAATACATCCTCCTTACAAACGTAAGTTACTCATATAAAACTTAGGTTGACATTTTGGTAAACTTCTCTCCAGTCATTTCATTCTGTGCATTAGTGGTCTAGGTTTCTTCCTTACACACAGTTATAATCAGAGTATATCCTGCTGTATTTATTTAACATTAGAAGAACTTTCCAATATTGTCATTATTCTTTACCAAATTTAATTTTATATTTATAATATTTTATGTTTAGATATGTTTAATATTTATTGTCTAATTTCAGTTGTGAATATACAGTTGTTTCCAGTTTTTCAGGGGTCTAAGTAATATTGTGACAAAAAAATCTAAAGCTATGTTATATTCAGGATCATATTAAAATAAGCTCCCAGATATGAATTAAAAGACTGTAAACAAATTTAAAGAATAGAAAAAAATTTAGAAAGTCACAATTAGGTAAATTTTAAAAGCCAAACACACATACACGTACACACACACACACACACACACGCACACACACACGTATAATATTCTACTCAATGTAAAACAATACCTAATGGAAAGAAACATTCTAAAATATAAAAAGTGATTATCTCCAGTGTTGACTGGAGATAAGATTTTCTCCAGTGTTGACTGGAGATTCATATTTTATTTATGCCTTTCTGTGGTTTCCAAGAATTCTATAATTAGTTCATTTTGTTACGCAAATTATTTTGATAATTTATCTCCATTAATAATTTTTTTTAATTCCCCTTTTTTTCCTGTGCAAAAAGCTTCCATTCTCTTCAAGAAAGGACCGGGGACTGGGCGCAGTGGCTCACACCTGTAATCCCAGCACTTTGGGAGCCCGAGGCAGGCAGATCAGGAGATCAGGAGTTCAAGACTAGCCTGGCCAGCATGGTGAAACCCCATCTCTACTAAAATACATAAAATCAGCCAAGAATGGTGGTGCATGCCTGTAGTCCCAGCTACTCAGGAGGCTGACGCAGGATAATTGGTTGAACACAGGAGGCGGAGGTTGCAGTGAGCCGAGATATTACCACTGCATTCCAGCCTGGGCAACAGAGCAAGACTCTGTCTCATAAATAAATAAATGGCCAATGCTATCATATTACAATTAAAACCAGAAACAAGAAAAGACATTACTTCAAAAACCCTAGGCCTTTGAGTTTTTTCTCTAATTTTCTCATCCTCCATCACAGTTGTGAAGTTTTAGTGACCAAAACAAAGAAAAAGGAAAGGAGGGAAGGAAAAAAGAGGCATCCTCCTAAGAAGATGCTTCTTTCCACCTTTATCTCCATCCTCATGCTCTCCAGAGTATCCAAGGACATGCCTCTTTTTCCCTTCTCCCTTTACCATGCTATTACACAATGGCTTATTTAGATAACACAGTAACTTTCATATTCTCTTAACCTCAAATGAAATGAGCCCCAAAACAAACATGATAACAGATATATGCCAAATTAAGAGCTGTAACATTTGGGTTAGGGGACTACAGTTTTGATGAAAAGTATAGAAAAAACTTAACCTAAGCATATTAATTATGCTCCTACTTAAACTATAATGGCAAAAAGTCCTCTAAGCCACCATTAAGAGTATAAATCATTACTTCATAGTACAGGTTGCATATACCTTCCATTGCCAGTGTTTTCTCATTCCAAACTAAATAACACTATTAGGAAGAAGTTTAAATTTACATCACCATTCTATTCAGAACTGGAAGTTTTCTGGCAAAGAAGGCTAAAATGGGATCTAAGCTTAAAGTTTTTTAAAAACAAATGGAAGACATAAAAGGATAGTAAAATGGTTAATTTTGCAGGAAGCACTAGAATGCATATTACTGGACAAACAAGAAAGCTAAGAATTAATAGGCTTAAAAGGGATAACTAAGAAGTAATAATAACTTCACTAAACAGGTTAAATAATTCCCAGTATGTAAGTATGAACAATGATATAAAAAATTAGAGTGGGGAGGGACTCAAAATGGCGCGGTGAGAACAACCCAGGATTGAAGCTCTCGTTGAACGCGTGGAGGGTGAGTCAGGGCCGCATTTCCAGACGAATCTTTGTTGCCCACAGAACGGGGCAATTCCCAGGTATAAAAGAGATGCAGGACGCCAGCCAGAGGTTTTGGCTGGTGCAGCCGGCAGCCGGTACAGCTGGCGGCTGGCGCTGTAGTGCAGCAGCGCTCCACACAAAGCGCACTGGTCCGGGTGCCCTGTTGAACCGGCAATCTGAGACTTGAGAGGGCAGATTTGCATATCTATTTGACTGAACAGGACTTGGACAGTGAGCCAGGTCAGGAGATTCCAGGGAAACGGCGTTTGGGCCAGCACAGTGCGACAAACAAAATGGTGATTCCAAACGCTCCAGGTGGAGAGTTTCACTGCAGGCACAGCTGAACCCAGGATGGTGCAGCTCAGTGGGGGAGGGGCGTCCACCATTACCAAGGCAATCTGCCCCTACTAAGGTACACGCCCATTGCTGACACAGCCTGCCGTTGCCAAGGCAACCCGCCACAACAGAGAGACTCCGCCGCAGGGCGTGGCAGCAGGGCGGAGACTGCAACAGCAGGGCAGAGCCTGCAGCAACAGGGCGAATCTCACACCAGCAGGGCGGAGCCATGGCAGGCAAAGAGTGACTAGACTGCCTCCTAGCTGGGCAGGACAGCGCAATGGACACTCACAAAGAAAGCCCCAACCCCCCAAGACAGAGCATCTGAGAAAAAAAGGGTTTTTTTTTTATGAGTTCTGCTGCAGCAGAATTAAACGTACCAGCCTAACAACCCTGAATGAACAACAGAGCTCACAGCTCAGCACTTGAGCTCCTATAAAGTACAGACTGTCTCCTCAAGCACCTCCCTGACCCCTCTATATCCAGAAGACTGACATTTGGCAGGCATCATTCTGGGACAAAGATAGCAGAAAAAGTAACTGGTAGCATCTCTCACTGTTACACAGCTGCTATAGGTGCACCCCAAACAAGCAGGGCCTGGAGTGGACCTCAGCAGTCATACAGTGGAGGGGCTAGACTGGTAGAAGGAAAACCAAGTAACAGAAATACTTCATCATCAACAATCTGGGCGTCCACTCAGAGACCCAATCGAAAAGTCAGCAACTACTCAGACGACAGGTGGATAAATCCACAAAGATGGGAAGAAACCAGAACAAAAAGGAGGAAAACACCCGAAACCAGAACACCTCGCCTCCTACAAAGGACCAAAACTCCTCACCAGCAAGGGAACAAAGCTGGACGGAGAATGACTGTGACGAAATGACGGAATTAGACTTCAGAAGGCGGATAATGAGAAACTTCTGTGAGCTAAAAGAACATGTTTTAAATCAATGCAAAGAAACTAAGAACCTTGAATAAAGATTTGAAAAAAGATTCAAGGAAATGATAACAAGAATGGATAACCTAGAGAGGAATATGAATGAATTAAAGGAGCTGAAAAACACAATACGAGAACTTCACGAAGCATGCACAAGTTTCAACAGCCGAACTGACCAAGCAGAAGAAAGAATATCAGAAGTTGAAGATCAACTCAATGAAATAAAATGAGAAACCAAGATCAGAGAAAAAAGCGCAAAAAGGAATGAACAAAGCCTCCAAGAAATGTGGGACTATGTGAAGAGACCTAACCTATGTTTGATAGGTGTACCAGAATGTGATGAAGAGAATGAATCCAAGCTGGAAAATACTCTTCAGAACATTATCCAGAAAAATTTCCCCCACCTAGCAAGGCAGGCCAACACTCAAATGCAGAAAATAGAGACAACACTACAAAGATATTCCACAAAAAGAGCAACCCCAAGGCACATCATCATTAGATTCAACAAGGTTGAAATAAAGGAGAAAATACTAAGGGCAGCCAGAGAGAAAGGTCGGGTCACGCACAAAGGGAAGCCCATCAGACTCACAGCAGATCTCTTGGCAAAAACACTACAAGCCAAAAGAGAGTGGGGGCCAATATTCAACATCCTTAAAGAAAATAACTTTCAGGCCAGGCGCAGTGGCTCAAGCCTGTAATCCCAGCACTTTGGGATGCCGAGGCAGGTGGATCACGAGGTCAACAGATCGAGACCATCCTGGTCAACATGGTGAAAACCCGCCTCTACTAAAAATTACAAAAAATTAGCTGGGCATGGTGGCGCGTGCCTGTAATCCCAGCTACTCAGGAGGCTGAGGCAGGAGAATTGCCTGAACCCAGGGGGCGGAGGTTGCAGTGAGCCGAGATTGCGCCATTGCACTCCAGCCTGTGTAACAAGAGCGAAACTCCGTCTCAAAAAAAAAAAAAAAAAAAAAAAGAACTTTCAATGCAGAATTTCATATCCAGCCAAACTAAGCTTCATAAGTGAAGGAAAAATAAAATCCTTTGCAAACAAGTAAGTACTCAGAGAGTTTGTCACCACCAGGCCTGCTTTACAAGAGCTCCTGAAAGAGGCACTACACATAGAAAGGAACAACCAGTACCAGCCATTCCAAAATCACACTAAATGCTAAAGAGCATCAACATAATGAAGAATCTACAACAACTAACAGGCAAAACAGCCAGCTAGCATCAAAATGGCAGTATCAAATTCACACATAACAATATTAACCCTAAATGTAAACGGACTAAATGCACCAATCAAAAGACACAGACTGGCAAATTGGATAAAAAGCCAAAACCCATCAGTGTGCTGTATCCAGGAAACCCATCTCACATGCAAGGATACACAAAGTCTCAAAATAAAGGGATGGAGGAAGATTTACCAAGCAAATGGAGAGCAAAAAAAAGCAGGAGTTGCAATTCTCATCTCTGATAAAATAGACTTTAAAGCAACAAAGATCAAAAGAGACAAAGAAGGCCATTACATACTGGTAAAAGGATCGATACAACAAGAAGAGCTAACGATCCTAAACATATATGGACCCAACGCAGGAGCACCCAGATACATAAGGCAAGTTCTTAATGACTTACAAAGAGACTTAGACTCCCACACAATAATAGTGTCAATATTAGACAGATCAATATTAGACAGATCAACCAGACAGAAAATCAACAAGGATATCCAGGGCTTGAACTCAGACCTGGAGCAAGCAAACCTGATAGACATTTACAGAACTCTCCACCCCAAATTGGAAAGGTGGAAGCCAAATTGTCTCTATTTGCAGATGACATGATAGTATACCTAGAAGACCCCATCGCCTCAGCCCAAAAACTCCTGAAACTGATAAGCAACTTCAGCAAAGTGTCAGGATATAAAATCAATGTGCAAAAATCACAAGCATTCGTCTACACCAATAACAGACTTAAAGAAAGCCAAATCAAGAACGAACTGCCATTCACAATTGCTACAAAAAGAATAAAATACCTTGGAATACAACTCACAAGGAACTTAAGGGACCTCTTCAAGGAAAACTACAAACCACTGCTCAACGAAATCAGAGAGGACACAAACAGATGGAGAAACATTCCATGTTCATGGTTAGGAAGAATTAATATCGTGAAAATGGCTATACTGCCCAAAGTAATTTACAGAATCAACGCTATCCCCATCAAGCTACCACTGACTTTCTTCACAGAACTGGAAAAAACCACCATGAACTTCATATGGAACCAAAAGAGAGCCCGCATAGCCAAGTCAATTCTAAGCAAAAAGAACACAGTGGGGGGGCATCACACTACCGGATTTCAAACTATACTATAAGGCTACAGTAATCAAAACAGCATGGTACTGGTACCAAAACAGAGATATAGACCAATGGAACAAAACAGAGGCATTGGAGGCAACACAACATATCTACAACCATACAATCTTTGATAAACCTGACAAAAACAAGCAATGGGGAAAGGATTCCCTGTTTAACAAATGGTGTTGGGAAAACTGGCTAGCCATGTGCAGAAAGCAGAAACTGGACCCCTTCCTGACACCTTACACTAAAATTAACTCCAGATGGATTAAAGACTTAAACATAAGACCTGGCACCATAAAAACCCTAGAAGGAAATCTAGGCAAAACCATCCAGGACATAGGAGTAGGTAAGGACTTCATGACCAAAACACCAAAAGCATTGGCAACAAAAGCCAAAATAGACAAATGGGACCTAATCAAACTCCACAGCTTCTGCACGGCAAAAGAAACAGTCACTAGAGTGGATCGGCAACCAACAGAATGGGAAAAATTTTTGCAGTTTACCCATCTGACAAAGGGCTGATATCCAGAATTTACAAAGAACTCAAACAGATTTACAGGAAAAAAAACAAACAAGCCCATTCAAAAATGGGAAAAGGATATGAACAGACACTTTACAAAAGAAGACATATATGAGGCCAACAATCATATGAAAAAATGCTCATCATCACTGGTCATCAGAGAGATGCAAATCAAAACCACATTGAGATACCATCTCACGCCAGTTAGAATGGTGATCATTAAAAAATCTGGAGACAACAGATGCTGGAGAATATGTGGAGAAAAAGGAACACTTTTACACTGTTGGTGGGAGTGTAAATTAGTTCAACCATTGTGAAAGACAGTGTGGTGATTCCTCAAGGCCTTAGAAATAGAAATTCCATCTGACCCAGCAATCCTATTACTGGGTATATATCCAAAGGACTATAAATCGTTCTACTATAAGGACACATGCACATGAATGTTCATTGCAGCACTGTTTACAATAGCAAAGATCTGGAATCAACCCAAATGCCCATTGATGATAGACTGGATTGGGAAAATGTGGCACATATACACCATGGAATATTATGCAGCAATCAGAAATGATGAGTTCGTGTCGTTTGTAGGGACATGGATGAATCTGGAAAACATCATTCTCAGCAAACTGACACAAGAACAGAAAATGAAATACCGCATATTCTCACTCATAGGCGGGTGATGAAAAATGAGAACACATGGACACAGGGAGGGGAGTACTAAACACTGGGGTCTATTGGGGGGAAAAGGGGAGAGCCAGCGTGGCGGGGGGGGATCTGGGGAGGGATAGCCTGGGGAGAAATGCCAAATGTGGGTGAAGGGGAGAAAGGAAGCAAAACACACTGCCATTTGTGTACCTATGCAACTGTCTTGCATGTTCTGCACATGTACCCCAAAACCTAAAATGCAATAAAAAATAAAAAAATTAGAGTGTAACCCTAATAAAAGCTTTATTTTACCTTTCTAATTTGCTGAAGAGTGCCAACAATACATTATACTTCTTCAACAGTCTCGACATAGCATTATCAACTTTGGTACTGGTATCAATTTCTTTTAGTAAGTCAAAGAATTTAAAGACACTACAAAGGAAAGAATAGAAAAAAGTAAATCAGTAACCTTAATATTTTGTGTTATTTCATTTTCAAATCATAGACTTTTGAATTCAAAGATTATCTCTACATCAAATCACTACTATATCCTCTGGAAGGAATTACTTTTTGCAAAAACAATTAGCCTTCAACTTACACGTCTATTATCTATGTACCTATGCTTATATCTGTTTATCATTGAGAATATAAGAAAATGAAGGGTCACAAAGAGAAATGTATATATTTATTCTATATCTGTCCATATGTTTAAAAAAACATGAGTTCACATGCATTTATCCAAGTCCAATATAAGACCATATGCTTCATTTTAGTGTTTCCCTTATTACTCTTCTTTGACAGTGCGAAACCTGGAACCCATTCATCTTTAGTTTAGTTTACTTACTCGTTTAAACAATCCCCCTGTAAGCAACCGTCTTCCATCTCCAAAGCCATCCCCTCCCCCATGTGAGCACTTTTCTGTTCTGCTCAGAACTGACTCCCTATTCTGGACTTATCCCACCCCTTAGCACAGATACATTCCTCACCATGGTATGGCTCTGACTCCCCCAGCAGACTGCCCTCCTCATCTCACTTGTGCTCTGACTACCTGCACCAGCTACCTGCACACCCTGCTAAGTCTCTGACACTGCACCCAAGGCAGCCACATCAGGTTGCCCCCATGTAAAGGATGCCCTCCTTAGTCTACTTTGACTCTAACATCTTGCTCTGGGCCCTGTGGCACCCTCCTGCCAGACATGCACACCAAAATGCATACTTTATTTGCCCCACCAATGATTTTAGAATTGAATGATTTTGGAAAAGGAAAGTTTATTTTAAATTTTTAAGTAGTTTAAATAATAACTTTAAGTCATTCTTTGTAATTATTTTCCATAAAAATTAATCTATTTCAAACATCAAAACATACATTTTCCAGTAGGACATTAAAGATAGCAATCATCAACTACATCTCACATGCTAATTTCTAATCATGAAGTTTGTGTAAGGAATTATACCAAACCAGCTAACTGAACCAGGTGACTACCTGACCCATCCATAGGCTGTCCAGCAACCAATGAGTTATAGCCCTCACTCAAAAAATGGGCTGGACCAATCATACACTTATCTTAAGAACTAGGAAAATAAAAGCTTCAGCTAATCAGCAGGGGAGCCAAAAGGTTATTAAAGAATTGGGGGAGCTATGACAAGCTATATGGAAAAGCAAATAAAGAAGGAGTAGAAATGACGAAGAATAGAAGATCAGCATGTTGATTAGAAGAAAAAAGAGAAAGGAAGAAATGTGCAGATATATCCAGAGAAAAATAAATCAGCCTCAGAATAGCATTTATTAAACAACTACTCTCAGTTCCAGTTTTTATGACGTATATGGCAATACCTGTCCTTAGATTACCATGAAAACTGTAAATTGTTCCAACAAAGCCTTTATGCTAGGGAAAACTTAAGGGAAGCAAAAAGGAAAAAAGAGAAGCAGTGAGTACTTGTGGTGTTGCAGGTATCTACTCTATGAACTATTTATTTCTATTATTTTGTATATTTATGAATAACAAGGCTTTTGCTTCCACATTTTTAGATGTAGCAAAAAAAGTATTACAAAAATGCAACAATTTAACCTCATTTAAATAAAACATCAATTATGTTTAATTCTAGATGTCTTTATTCAAGGAAAAACATAAATAATTACCTATTTGGTAAAAATACATACTGTTGCATTTTTGTAAAGATGTTACAAAGAAAATGACTGAAAGTCCTGGATGCTTTCTGAAGATAAAGTTCATACATTATTAAAAACAAATTAATAAACTCTTCTTATAAGGCTTATAAGCTCAACAACAAGCACCTATTAGGTAATTATTGGCTCAAGTATTGGAGCATGTTCAAATCAATATATAATCTGAAAAAAATGTATTTAATTATAATATCCTCTATATTAAAACAATCTTAAACTTTAATAAATCTTACCTAAATCCCTTTAAGATAAACTCAAACTACTTATATAAGAGTTTTCATATAAAACAAGCCTATTTTATAAATCCTTGCTTTTCTGTTCACTTTATTAACAGCCAAAATTAAGAAAGCCTACACATGAATAGTGAGAGACCCAGTGAAATTTTTTTCCAGGACACAAACTGCTACATCTTAAATGCAGCATAAATACACTTTCATAAGGGCTCCATGAGAGAATGACAGTACACTATTTGACCCAAGTTCTTTACGTTTTACTTAATTTTAGCATTTCTCACTAATTCACTGGTCTATTAAGAGGAAAGTCCAGAATTCATTTCCTTTTATGGCAGAGGCTTATACTTATACAAGAAACTTTACCTGATTTCTATGTTTTTCTGTAGTTCAGTAAAAGTGAACGGCATCTCATCTAGGTCAACTGCTGCAATAAAGATACAGATTCCCCACAGCTCCTTTTTCTTTTGAATATAACCTCCCTGGGAACAAAAAATAAAGATCAAATATTTCATTAAATAATTCACACAGTAGAAACTGTGTTAAAACTGTATTATAACTGATTTTTTCTTATTCGACATACAAAATAAATGTTCATAATACTTATTAAATATTTGTAACACATCCTTCTGATGGCATATAATATTTGAAAGCATTTCACTTCACACTAATAACAAATATTTGAATTTTATATTGTAAGGCAAAAAAGTACTAGAAAGATCAAATAATTAAATAAGTTACTGTGGAAGCTTCAGAGATCAGTCAATTCCTCAAAATAGTTTCATTTTTCAATAACCCAATGCCATCAAAGCCAAGTTAAGAGATTTAGAGCCCATAACATATAATTAGTTTGAAAAAAACAAGCCCACATTCTTATTTGCTTATTCTTTCCTTGCTCTAATTCATTCATTTATTTTATCAATTTATTCATTAAGTATTTTTAAAATTGTATCTCATGTTTCAGTTTTTTAACTGCCTTATTTGTAAAACAGAAATAATACATACCCCGTTTTGTAAGAATTAAATGAAATGATATTTATAAAGCCTTAGGCATAACATAAAGCATATAGTTAGTTCTTAATGACTGATGGCTATCATTATCACTAGAGTACTTTTTCAGTAACTTTAGAATATGTTTTTTCCTACAATATATACCACCTCTAAATATTAAATTTTATAGGTAAAATTTGGATTATATTAAGTCGGAAACAAGAGATGTCAAATTAATGTTCATTAAATAGTTGGACCTATTTATTTAAACTGGAGATTACAATAGAGCTGAAAAGCATATAATGCAATTTTATGTTGTTTTGAAAAGTGAGTTGCTCTGGATTACCAAATTTTACAGGTAATTAAATGTTTATCACCATCCAACTCTAAACTTTTTCTTAATTTTAGCTACTTGGGATGTAAATATTTTAAAACTTAAATTACAATTATATACAACTAGAATAGTTAAAATGTAAAAGACTGACAACACCAAGGGCTGGTGAGGATGTAGTACAATGGAACACTTAACCATCACTGGTGAAAATGTAAAATGGCACAATCATTTTGGAAAACAAGTTTGGCAAGTTCTTATAAAGTTAAATATGCACTTTCCATAACACATACCAATTCCATTCCCAGATATTCATACCCAAGAGAAACGAAAACATTATATGTAAATGTCCATAGCAGCTTCACTTATAATAGCCAAAAACTACAAACAACCCCCCAAAATAAAGTTCATGGATAACTTGGGGCATATCACTACAATGGAATGTTATTTGACAATAAAAAGGAAATGTCCTAATAAATGTAACAACATAGATAAATTTCAAAATTATTACACTGAGAAAAGGCCAGACTCAAAAGGATACACTGAATGATTCCTTTCCTATGAAATTCTAGAAAAGGCAAAACCAATCTTTAAAGTCAAAAAGTAGATGAGTAGTTGCCTGAGAAACAGAGGGGAGGTGCTGGGAAATGACGGCAAAGGGGAATGAAATAACTTTCTGGAGTCATCAAAAAGTTCCCTATCTTAATTGTAGTGACTACATAAGTGAATATGTCTGTTAAAATGTATTGAACTGTGCACTTAAAATTGGCATATTTTATGTAGGTAAATTATACCTCAATAAGTTTGATTTTGAAACTACATTACATACTTTCTGCAACCGAAGATACAAAGTTATACTGCTTCATTGTTGTGATGACTAAGTATATATATATTTTAAAATGAACAAACATCAACTTTTGTTTTTGTATTTATGTTAATATGATCAATTTATTGAGAACTAATAAGATGTCAAAGGTTGTGTGTCTCTTTAATAAATAACCCCAACTACCATAGTCTTTGAATTTTTATGCTTATTTTTTATCATTTTGGTTTGTTTCTTTGCACTCAGGCTAGTACCTGTTGAACATAACTGCACACAATATATATCCTTTCATCAACTCCAGCCTTTTTTTCTCTCTCTCTCTTTGAAAGATTAGAAAGTGAAGTGAAAGTTGCTAAAATTTAGTATGTTGTTTATCCATTTTTTTAAAACAGTGAATTTCATTAGGACAGTTATTAGCCAAAACAATTAAACATCTAATACAATAAAATGCCTAAGCAAAATGTTCTACAAGTAGGTTCTGATTTTCAAGGCCCTGAAGAACTACAAGCAAAATGTGACCTTTACTTCAGATGTGGCTTGTCTTTTTACTTCCTTTAGAAGCATATTTCAAGGAACAGAAGTTTTTAATTTTGATTAAGCTCAATTTATTATTTTTTTCTTTTATGGGTTATGCTTTCAGTGGTAGTATCTATGAATTCTGCCTAACCCAAGCTCATTAAGATTTTCTCCTTTGTCATTGTCTAGAAGTTTAGGTCTATGCTTCATTTCTGGTTAGTTTTTATAAATTGTGTGAGGTAAAAATTGAAGTTCATTTTCTGTAATATGGATACCCAATTGCTCCAGCATTATTTGTTGAGAAGAATACCCTTCCTCCATTACCTTTGCACTTCTGCAGAAAATGAACTTACAATATATTTTATGTGTGTGTGTGTGTGTCTACTTCTGGATTACCTGTTCTGTTCCACTGATCTCCTTGTCTTTTTTCACCAATATCATAATGTCTTCATTATTGTAGTTTCATATATTTTGTTTATTTTTAGTTGAATTTGATTCAAGATTTTTCAATCTAAAAAAGTCATTGGATTCACTTCTCATTGTACAGATTAAAAATTAAAGACTAGAGAGTTAAGACTTGCGCAACACAACCAGTTAATTTTCACAGACCCAAAACCCACATTTCCTAACACTTAATTTAGTAATCTTCCATTTAAGGGTTCTTCCTTATTACATTTCTATATTGATGTCCTTGACATTTTCGCTATTGAAATCCTTGGTCTCACTGCCCCCATCAAAAGTTCTGTCCTCTTAACTAGGGGTCTTGATTTCTATTTTACTGAGAAGGCTGAAGATGCAAAATATTAAAACAAAACAAAACAAAAAAAACCAACCTCATATTCTTCTCCACACCAACTCCCTTTTTTTTTTTTTTTTTTTTTTTAAGAAACCAAGTTTCACTCTTCTTGCCCAGGCTGGAGTGCAGCAGCACAATCTTGGCTCACTGCAACCTCTGTCTCCCAGATTCAAGTGATTCTCCTGCCTCAGCCTCCCAAGTAGCTGGGATTACAGGCATGCACCACTATGCCCAGCTAATTTTGCATTTTTAATACAGATAGGATTTCACCATGTTGCCCAGGTTGGTCTTGAACTCCTGACCTCAGGTGATCTGCCTGCCTCAGCCTCCCAAAGTGCTGGGATTACAGGCATAAGCCACCATGCCTGCCCCCACATCAAATCATTTCTAATCATCATATATTCTGGCTTTCTCAAAATGTTTCTACATCTTCATCTATAAATTCCTCTTCTCTTCTGACCTAGACAAATGGATATTCTCCTACATTCTCAAATTAAAAACTCTAATACCACCCCTACTCCCTCCCATTTTAGATCATATTGCCTCTCATCTCCTTCAAGACCTAGCGTATTAATTCCTTTCTCTGTCTTTTATAGTTTCTCTAACAGTTCTCTCTCTCAAAGTTTCCCTTTGGCTACAGGGAAGCTTGCAATGTCTTTAAAAAAGAATAAATAACAAGGTCCCTCCAACCCTGGACCTTATCAAGCTACTGACTTCACTACACATATACTTCCCATCACTATATATATATATATATATATATATATCTCTCTCTCATTGTTCCCACTATTCCCACACACACTCACCATACACACTATCACATTGCACACATACACTGCACTCACTGAACACACACCCCTCCTGCCATACAAATACTATTTTACTGAGGCTATTCTCTAAGTCCTCAAAGATCTTGGCTTTCTAAGTCAAATGGCCTTTTTTTGTTTCATCCAGAAAGACCTATGCAGCATCTGATGCTGTTGCAATTTTTCTCCTTCAATCTACCTCCATGCAACTTTTTTCATGAGCTTTATTAAATGCCGTCACATCCTCATTCTCTTCTCTTTTTCTCTCACAAACTTTTCATGGAGTTTCTCAACCCCATGGGCTTTCTTCCCACCATTCTCTTATTTCCTCAGCACTCTCATTAACTCCTATAGCCCTCATCATCTCCTTAAACAGATGGTTCTCATATGTCATTCTGCTTTCCAGTCTGATTCCTCTTTTAAGCTCCAAGTCTCCTTCTCCAATAACAATTTGCAACCTAAAATCTGTAACTGATGTGTTTTCTTTAAAATTCAGATGAAAATTATGAAAAGGGCTCAGGATAGCACTGTAAAAATGGTTAAAACAGGTGGCTGGCAAGATGGCCAAATAGGAACAGCTCCGGTCTGCAGCTCCCAGTGAGATCAAGGCAGACGGCAGTTGATTTCTGCATTTCCAATGGAAGTACCCAGTTCATCTCATTGGGACTGGCTAGACAGTGGGTGCAGCCCACAGAGGGTGAGCAGAAGCAGGTGGGGCATCCCCTCACCTAGGAAGTGCAATGGGTTAGGGAACTCCCTCCCCTAGCCAAGGAAAGTCTTGAGGGACTGTGCCACGAAGAACAGTGCACTCTAACCCAGATACTACACGTTTCCATGGTGTAGTATTCTTTCACAACCAAAAAACCAGAAGACTCCCTCAGGTGCTTACACCACCAGGGCCCTGGGTTTCAAGCACAAAACTGGGCAGACGTTTTGGCAGACACCCAGCTAGCTGCAGGAGTTTTTTTTCATATCCCAGTGGTGCCTGGAACGCCCCCTGGAAAGGGGGCTGAAGCCAAGGAAGCAAGTGGTTGAGCTCAGCAGATCCCACCCCCACAGAGCCCAGTAAGCTAAGAATCACTGGCTTGAAATTCTCACTGCCAGCACAGCAGTATGAAGTACACCAGGGATGCTAAAGCTTGGTGGGGAAGGGACATCCACCATTACTGAGGCTTGAGTAGAGTAGACAGTTTTCCCCTCATGGTGTAAACAAAGCCTCC